AGTTTTTACTCTTACCCAATCTTTATTTTTTAATATCTCTAAATTTTGTCGAATAAGTTGTTCACATTCGGTCTTTTTTGGAGTAATATGCTTTTTGATATGGTTTTTAAAGTGATTTAAGACTAATCTTTTTTCTTGTACAGACCATTTGCGTCTTCCTTCAGTTCCTTGAATATGGAAATGCGTTAGGTATCCAAAAAAAAAGCAAGTGTGCTTAAATATATTACCTTTACTTTGGCCAATTCGATCGGTATCGTTTTTAGGAACAACCCTTTCTTCACACCTGCCTCTTCCTATACATCTATTTTTCGTCTCACTACTCTTCTCTTTACATGTATTTTCTGTAACCTTTAACGTTGTATCCAAACATTTTATCGCATCACTTTGAAGAGATGTTTCTTTTGTATGGTTTTTTGATAACTGTCTTAGAACACGTTCCGAAAGAGGAATATCTTCTTCATCATCGATTTCAGATTCGGAACTGTAATAGATGTCATCCTTCAGCTCAATGTCATTTATATTCTTTCCATGAAACTGGTGACCTTTTCCCTTATCTAACAGTAATAGAATTTTTGCCACTTTTGCCGTCTGGTAAATATCCTGCGGCAATCTAAAATTAAAACGATAAATGATATAGTAAAATAGAGTTCAGCATACGAAGAAATATGCAACTTCGCTGTCACTTAGCCGACTTCGTAGTTTCTATTATTTCTGGATTTCAATGGTTTAGCAGACCCATTAAACTCGATTTAAAAAGAATGGGATATTGAGATAGGTACCTATAAAATTCAGCATGCGTTTTAGGTGTGTGGCCCATAAACTTGGCAATTTGTTCCATATCGTTTTCGTCCATACTCAATAGCTGCAAAGTAGTAGCTATATGCTTCCTAAACTTTGTTGAAGTTAAAACAGATGGGTTTTCAGCCCCGCATTCCTTAGCAAGGCGACTTATTACATTGGTACCACTGATCCATCTGTTTATCGATCCGGGGTTGGCAAATAAATATGGATTCGATTTAGGTACAATATCGCTTTTCTTTCTTACGTTGAGTAAGCACGATACGAATTTCTGGAGTCGATTCGAAAATAGTATCGGCACTGGCTTAGAGCCCTTACCACTAGTTACCACACGTTTAAATTTTTGACTTAAAACTTTTTCAACAGTGGTAAGCGATTCCATAAACGTTTCTGGTATTTGTGTTCCACTAGTAGACTCATATGTATCAATTTTAAGGTATTGGACATCACCTACTCTTTTTCTATTAAACATAACAACCAATGTAAAGACGCATTCAGTTAAAATTTTGTAGTCCAATTTAGAATACTGTCCAATTTTAGCCAAACTTTCGTATGCTTTATCAGCACGACTGTTAAGATATAATTGGAAAGCTTCTATATCTTTTGTTAATGGCAGTTGCACCGGTTTTTCCCAATGCTTCTCTTTAATGTCCTTTAAGGCTAAACTCGATAGCTCGTTGCACCAATGAGATGTTATTAATTGTCGCAGCTCCTTGATATTTTGTTTTGTTTCTTCCTTGTTTGACCACTTCAAATATTGTAGTGACATGTTTTGTAGCACGACTTTATAAGCAACATCACAAACTGTTTTTAAATTAGTACCCATATGGAGTGCAAGAGATGGTGATTTAAAACTTTTTGTTTCAATGTTATAACTACTGATAATTTTCGTCGCTCTTATGAGATCTTGGAAACGATCTGGTTTGAGGAGATCAAATCAACAAGTAACTTCATTGTCAAATGATTTTACGGCAATCAAAAGTCGCGCCATCTCCCTTATTTTGTTAGATACAACAGTTGATATTTGCTGCCTTTTATGTTTATTAAGGAGCGTTTCTCCATAAAGACAAATCAACTGATCAGTTTTTGCTACAAAGCTAATATTGTCTGGTCGCATGATGCTAAACACTTCCGATTTGATGCGGGATGCTTTTAGAAAATCTTGGTTCTTCCATTTTACTGATGCCATAAAAGTTTGTGATTGAGTTAGATAATTCTGTCTAACAGTTTTTAAATCCGGTGGCCTACTTTTACAGTTTTTTGCGTGTTTATGTAGTAAAGTTTTACTATAATGACCTAGGCAATACGTGCAAGTATAATATTCTGTGTCTGAACTAGCGGAGTTTCTAACAGGGTGTAAAACACCCTTTTCTGTTTTGAGGTGAAAGTTACCCTGTTTTCTCAAAGCTGCCACCATCACAAGTCGTTCTTTACTCCGCGGTTTCAAAGTCTTCAGTAGTTTAACGTCTTTATGATCAGCATGATGACGAATAAGATGCCTACTGAAATGCGTAATCACATCATTGAAACAAATAGGGCATATTGTTGGTCGTTCCTTAGATGCTTTACTTTTTTCGTAAGTGCCTTTTTTCTGCAGAGAGAAACGTTATTAATTTTTAGACTTTAATATTCCGATAAATTAATATTTTTGATCACCATTAAAAGTTGAAATGAGTATTTTAATTTTTGTCAGCTTATTTATTGTATTTGTTAAACGTTTGGTTTGAATATCTATTTGAAATAACTTCATTTATGCTTTAATCCTAACCTTACGATCTTCCCGAGATATAGAGTAGTCGTGAGCTTTTCCTTTTATCGTTGTTAACATGCATGGTTATAATGTCTTTAACTTATTAAAAATTTGAATTATCACAATGGACTTCTTTTTAAATGTTCGCTTTGATTTCAACTTTCAATTTATTAAAAAAAATAGCTTTTCTAAATTAAATATCAGTCCTTGTTGTTTTAAATGAAATTGATAGAAATGGATCGCGACCTATACATTGATGAAACGGATTTAAATTTTAAAAAGCCGATAAAAACTAATTTTTTAATTATTTTGTAAACAATGTGTTTATCAAAAGTAGACAACATTTAAAAAAGGGAACATTGAGACATTAATTTTTCACAATTTTATACATTTAAAGTCATCATCATAAGGTCGTCAGTCCTACGACTGGTTGGACACGCACCTCCTCCCTATCCTATCCTAAGCTAATCTTGGCACTTCCCTAAAACCAGAACAACCCACATCCTTAACTATTTGCCAACAGTAACCTAACGTAGGTCTACCTTTACCCCTTCTAACTCCCGTTTCTGCCTCTAATATGTTTCTGACTAGACCTACATGCCTGAGAAGGTGTGCTACAAACCTATCTCGCCTATTTCTTATTGACTTCCATACAGTTATCTGTTCTCCTATTCTTTCTAATCCCTCATTTCTAACCTCTATCCACGGTATCCTCATCATTCGCCTGCAACACCAGATTTCGAACGCATCCAACCTTTTCTTTTCCGCCGCGCCCCATTTAAAGTAAAGAAAATTAATTTTAATGATATCCAACGAGAGGTTTAACAATCACCGTCTGAAAAATTAATGCAAGAGTTACACAAGTTAAACAACAAAAAACATTCAACAAAACCTAAGACCCAAAATGGAGTTAATAAAGGTTCGGCTTTATAGACCACGGTCGAAATGAACGGTTACGTTAGAATTGCCGCTATGAATTCTGATAAAACCTAATACTTAAAAAGTTAACACAGAATACCCTATAACATGTCTTTAATGAAAACATTCTTGTAAAATGGTGAGAATAGAAGCTGCCAATTGTTGAAACTTATCCGTAATATTACGAATAAAATACCAAAAGTTTCATGAAAATTAGTTTTAGGAACGTAATAATTCTTTCACATCAGGTGATGATTGTGTTCCTACAATAAACTTTCTTGAAAGTTTTGGTAATTTAATTAGTTACATAATTGTTCTATCTCATAAATCATTGATTGTATTTCAATGAAGTGTCCTGCACTTGACTAAAGTTTAGTTAAATTACCAGCTCGAATTCACAAGAGTGAGCTCATTCAAAAATAGTGTTGTTTGTTTATCGATATAAAGTAACAATACAAACTTTTACCAGTACATCTTCAGAATATCTAAGTGTTAATTTTGCTTGACGGTTAGAATCTCGATCAGTGGAAGGCATACAATGCTAAAAAATCAAAATTAAAAATAAACCATTTAATTCCTATAAAAAAATACCAAATTTGTTTCAGAAGAACTACTTTGTGATTTAAGGTTTGTGTTCTATACAGAGATTAGTGTTTTCCACCAAATTCTATTTTATCTGGTTGTGATATTACCTTTTCCCAATCAACTACATCGTTCATTAGTTCGATTTCGGGCGAAGTGTTTGTATTTAAAAGCGCTTCTATNAGTAATTTGTTAATTAGTCCAGCAGCACAGTCAAATGATGTTTCGTTTGTTAATCTTGCTGCAGGAAAAACCATGTCTCAGACAATTCTATCAACGGCTGTTATTCAGGTTTTCGATACATATGGTAAACCTCATTTGTGTAGAGCACTACTAGATCCAGGATCACAGTCAAATTTCTTAACAAAGCAACTCTGCAATCGATTAGGCGTTAAAAAGGTTAGATATAATATAACTGTGTGTGACATAAGCAATAATGCATCTAACATAGACTTCAAAACAGAAATCGAATTCAAGTCGCGCGTAAACGGTTTTTCATCAAAAATATCATGTTTTGTATTAGACGAAATAACTGGCATCCTACCTAGCAAGCCGTTCAGCTTGTCAAGTTTCACTATCCCGAAGAATATACAGTTAGCGGATCCCAAATGCAACAAACCCGGCCCAATAGACTTATTGCTTGGCGCTGGAATATTTTGGGAACTCCGGTGCATAGGCCAACATAGATTAGGGAAGAATTTACCAATCCTTCAAAAAACCAGGTTAGGATGGATCCTTGGAAGTACATTCGATAATCAAAAGCAAGAAATTAGTTCAGAAATACAAAATAGCATTAGTTGTTATACATCAATTAGTAATAAACATATTTCTAATCAATTAGAACAGTTTTCGAACATACAGCAAATCGATGAGAATCCATTAATTTTATATTCAAAGGAACAACAAATAGGCGATAATCATTTTAATATCACAACAGAACGGGCTCATGATGGTCACTTTATTGTTAGTTTACCTTTCAAACAAGACAAATCAACCCTAGGTCATTCACGAGACGTAGCTTTGCAACGATTTTTTTCTTTAGAACGAAAATTGCATAACAATCTACAGTTAAAAAACGAATACGAGGAATTCTTAAACGAGTACACTAAGCTTAATCATATGTCATTAGTCACAAACAATAACGAACTAGAATTTCCAAATTACTACGTTCCTCATCAAGCAGTTGTAAAAGGTAGTAGTCTAACAACAAACCTCAGGGTGGTTTTCTATAGAACTATTAACGTAAAAAACGGAAAACCCTTACCGAATGACAGCAAACTATTACTTTTAAATCCCTATATAGACCAGTTTGGTATCATACTAGTTGATAGAATTCAGAATTCTACGTTTAATTATAATAAAGTTCATCCTATAATACTACCTACATCTTACAGTCTCACTAAATTAATTTCATCAAACTTCGGCAGTCTTTGGGAGGCAGGTGTAAAATCTGAAAAAACATATATCAAGAAAATCGTAGCTAAATCAAATTTAGATTTCGAAAAATGTTGCACATTATCGACTCAGATCAAGTCTATTTTAAACTCCCGACCCTTAAGACCTTTGTCCACCTATCCAAACGATTTTGAACCTCTATAACTGTCGCACTTTTTAATTGGAAGAAGACTCATTACGTAGCAGGAAGAAAATTCGCTGGAAGTACCAGAGAATACACTAAATAAGTTTCAACGTATTCAGAGACTTATGGAACATTTTTGGAAGCGATGGAACGTCGAGTATATCAATCAACTGCCAACTACCAAATAGAAACAAAAATCGCAACGACTCAAATTAAACGACTTGGTTTTGATTTGGAAAAACAACGAACCAGCTATACATCGGAAGTTAGGACTTATAGAACTACATCCCGGAATAGACGGGTTTATCAAAGTTGTTTCCCTTATAGTGAGCATTGGTAGTGTTCGTAAACGTGCAGTGACTCCAGTGTGTGCTTTATCCATTAGCAAGTAATTTTATTCAATTTCAACGTGTAATTACAGACTTTGAGTTGAAAGGAGACCTTTCAAGGCGGCCGGAATGTTTACACGTTTGAAACATATTTTTTATATTTTAATCATATTTGTATATTTCTTTATGTAGGTATATTTGTTTATTTGTATATTAATCTTTGCTTAGTTGTAGGTATATTTGTTCATTTGCACATATTTTTCTTGGGTTATTTGTATCATTTGTTCAGTTTAACATTATTATTTGTAATTTCAAGAATCTGCCTTCAGCAACACTTCCAAATTATGTTCAATTCCTGCACTATTGTTGTGCAGGTACCAAAGAAACGTATACGATGTATTGTCTGTCCCGAAATCAGTACCATTCGGTATTTCCAGGGTTGGTAAGGTCACCACCCTAACAATAGCTGTACAGCTTGAACCAGCTTCGGCTGGCTCATTTCGTAGTAGGGATGACAATTTATATATTAAGAATTTTAGTAAATCGACAGCATATTATCATAATCATTAATAGAATATCATCAATCGACATACAGAACATTATCATAGAAC